GTCAGGCACTTCAATAGCTGATTTATTTACTGGCTGGGGTTTAACGAACGCTGAGATCCTGGAGCGCAGGACACAAGCACCAGAGCAGCTCAACGTGCTGCTGCGACGCAGGCCAGCAAGGGACGGGGACCAGGAGCGAGAATGGATTTGTATTTAATTCTGCCCCTGCTATCAGCTTGCTACGGGGTCTTGCAACGGCCCTTTGCGTTGAACCAACTCACGGGGCTTGCCGAGCGCTCGCAGGCATCCCCGACGCAGGGAAGCCCCGCGGACAGGGCGAGCGCCGCGGAAGCACGGAGCTACAGCCGCTGTACCTCCAGTTTGCATCTCTGCCCTCTCTTGCAATTGTGAACAGTTTCAGTTCATTGCCTCCATTTATCTTCACCTTTTCCATGCGAGGTGAGATTTGCAAGTCACCCTGCATAAGTGCTAAAAAAATGGGCCTGATTTTTAAGTGATAAAAACAGATGGGCTTTGGCATCTCAAAGCTGCTGGAGAAGAGAAGTGACCACTCCAGGAACACAGCTTGAGAGAAGATGAAGAATGTTATCTGGAAGCAAATGGATTACACGCAGTATCGTTAGCGCGCAGAAGTATCTTGCTATTCATAGCCCCTTCTGAGAAAAAACACATAAATCAGGGAGTCTCTAAACCTAATATTTGCTAATGCCATAAACGGACTGCTCCGTGGGGAAGAATGGCAGGAGGAGTCCATTTAGGGAGCAGAGACACTGCAGCTTATAAGAGAGGTTGGAGAGCGTTTTGGTGCTCTTTAGGATTTTTTGCTTAAAGACTCGGGGAGAGACTGTGTTGTTATTGGTAACAGAGCGTGCGCAGGGATAAACACACCAGGAAATTTCCCTGGAGATACAAAAAGATCAAACTTAGACAAAAGCAGTTGCTGGAGAACAGGGTTCAGCAATAGTAAATACTGTCGTAGGGGAGCTGAGCTCTGCTTAGTCAATCAGAGCCTATCCTGCATGGGAGAAAATCCCGAACAGACACGGACAGCGCTGGGACGTCAGTGCACGACGCCCATCCGATCGGGGCACACCAGGCTCTCGGCCTCTGCCGCGCAGCGAGAGGCAGGAGCTTGCCGGCATGCAAAATTAAAAGCAAAAAACCGCTCGAGGGCTGTCTCAGACTGCACGCGGTTCCTGCGGTAGCTTTCCAATGACACAGCAATCCCGAACGACCGCAGAGCCAACCCGCTCGACGTACAGAAACGCACAACGCAAAAGGGTGCCTTTGCAGCTGCCTGAGGATCAGCTGTGCTGCATCCGCAGAGAAGAGGGGTTCAGTGGCCGAGCGCAAGCGAGCGCGCGTGTCTGGGTGAATGCAGGAGAGATGCTGCAAACCACTGGTTACCATATTGCTCTTTCACATCTGGGCTGGCAATGCAAGCAGCCTCCGCAGCGTAAATCCAGATTAATTCCATTCCGGATGTTGCAATCGCTATGAATTCACACGTGCAGAACGGGTTGCAGGCTCTGCTCCGTGGCCCATCAAGAAAGCACCTTCTGCACCCTGAATGACAGGCATCGAGTCTGCACAAGCATTAGCAGAATTTGGCCTGTTTTCTGAGCAGGAGACAAGCGCGTGAGGCTTGTGCAACCATCCCAAAGTCCATCTTCCTCCGGTCCTGCCAAGACTAGCTTAGCGGTCAGGCGCCAGCTCGCAGCGCGGCAGCCCCGTTTGCGCAGCGTGCAAACGAGCCCGCTCCGAGCGGCGCGCTCTGGGCTGCCCGCTCCCGGCGCCCGAGCGGGCTGGCGGCATTGCAGTTCCTATGGCGAGCGGCGC